TTTTTTTTTTTTATCAAACTCTTTAACAAATTATCTCCCCAAGCACATCTTCTCATACAGTTGGGTCCCTTACCATGATGTGAGGCCACAGGATGAACTGTCAGATTTGAAAAGCAATAAATACAGTGCAGTCCCGTTTCCTGGGAAAGATCAAATGTTTTGAGTTTGACTTCCTCTCTATTCCTAAAAAACATTTCAGAAGGAAAAGACTGATGGATTCCTCATTGGCCTTTTTCCTTTGTATGTTTTGTTAGATTTTTTTTTTTTTTATCCAGGCTGTGAAAAGTTGTTGTTCATTAATGAAACTCAGAAAGTAGTCAAGTCCCTTTGAAGTTTAAGACAGCATCTGTTCCACTGTCCAAAGAGAGTAGAGAAATTAACATCTCCATCACATGGGTTTCAATGTAATTCAAGTTATTACCACCCAGAAGTTGCAGGTGCAAGGATATAGCTAACTTTGTTTTATGAAACATATTCGCGTGTGTGCATCTGTGTGTGATGCTTGCATGCATGCACCCATGTGCAAAATAAGGACCAGGTCTCATATAATGAATATTTCAAAAGGTAAGTACAAAAACATTCATATTAAGTTAAAATTGCTCTTTGGGTGGATTTTTCTCAGTTAGCTGTCAAAGCCATTTACAGTTCAGTCAATAATGATCTAGGTCTTGTAGGAAAAAAATCTAAATTTTCTAAAGAACAACTTAACTTTTTCAGTTGAGCTACTTGAAAGGGATACATTTAACAGTAAGAAATCAAATTTGAGCAGCATTTAGAGAATTCCTATCTCACTTGTCCTTCCCAATTAAGACTTAAGAAGTAGAGTATTAAAAAATTAAATAAATATTATATTTTAATTTAACTTTGTATATAAATGCACATTAATTTGTCAGTCTTTTGATGTATAGTTATGGCATTTTAGAGAAGAGAAAGAAGCATAAGTCAAATAATCCATGCCATCTACCTTTTATGAGCTGTATCAGTAATGCAAATTCTATAATTTCCAGTTTTGGTTTCCTTAGAATGAGAATTCTAGAAACACTTGGAACATGATCTCAATGCATAAACCTTCAATATTTTCAATAGTTTATCATCCATGCCTAATTTCATAGCCATTATTTCAAACAATGTTAGTTTTTATAGATCCATTTATTCCCCCTGATACACACAATATTGTGTTCATTCAAGTATAATTCATTAAAATAATCACAGTGATCCCTGGGTGGCTCAGCAGTTTCACTCCTGCCTTTGTCCCAGGGCGTGATCCTGGAGTCCTGGGATCGAGTCCTGCATCCGGCTCCCTGTGTGGAGACTGCTTCTTCTTCTGCCTGTGTCTCTGCCTCTCTCTCTCTCTCTCTCTCTCTCTGTCTCTCATGAATAAATAAATAAAATCTTAAAAAAAAATAATCACTATAATAATTGCCAAAAGTAGGGTCTGCTTATACTTCTAAGAAGATAGAGAAAATACACTTTTCTTTATTTCTTCTATGAAGTACAACTAAAAACCTTGGAAATTATCTATAAGACAAACCAAAGAAGACCTTGAAAAGTCTGTTTCTGGAAAACAGAAATAATATAGACAGGGAAAAAAAAAAAAGAACAGAGCCCTAGCAACCTGTGGGACTATCACAAAAGATCTATTTGTGAAGAGGAATGTTTATGGCAATTATAAAACATGGAAGCTAAAGGGACATCAAGGGAGGTAAGGTTTTTACATTTCACTCAATCTGATAAAATTTCAACTTCAGTATTCTGTGATAATTACATATATATATATATATAATGTACTATTTACAACCATTATAAAAGACATAAAGCAATAAACTGAAAGAACTACAAATGAATCAAAATGGAATTTAAAAAAAGTTTAAGCAATCCATAGGAAGCAAAAGAAAAAAAGAAAGAAGTGAAAGACAGAACAAGAAGAAAAGAAAATTTCAAATGGTGAACTGTAAGCCCCAACATATCAATAATATTAGATGTAAATGGCTTAAATACACTAATTATAAAATACAGATAAGCAGAGTAGATAAAAAACAAAAAACAAAACAAAACAAAAAAAACATGGTGCAAGTATATGCACTCTATAAGAAACTTACTTCCAATATAATGACACAGGTAAGTTAAAAGTAAATAAATGGAAAAAGATAAATCATATAAACTTTAAAAGAAAGTGGGGCACCTGGGTGGGTCAATCGGTGAAGCATATGTAACTCTGGATCTCAGTGTTGTCTATGAGCCCCACATTGAGTAGAGATTATTATTAAAAAACAAACAAACAAACAAACAACCTTAAAACAGTGAAAGAAAGCAGAAGTAGCTGTAATAATATCAGCTAAAGTAGATTTCAAAGCAATAAAAATTACCATTTACTAAGAGGCATATTACATAATGATAAAAAGATCAATCTAAAAAAAAATAATCCTAAATGTGCATGCATCAAACAACAGAGTTTCAAAATCTGTGAAGGAAAAAAAAATAGAATTAAAAGGAGAAACAGACAAATTCACACTGTTAGAAACTTCCAATACCACTCTGCCAACAACTGGGAGAACCAAACAGAAAATCAGAAAAACAGTACCATTCACCAACACTATCAACCAACAGAATCTAATCAACATTTATAGAACACTCCCTTCACCAAAAATGGAATATATTCAAGTGTCCACAGAAGATATTGCTAGATGGACCATATCATGGGCCATAAAACAAATTTCAAAACATTTAAAAGAAATGAAATCATACAGAGTGTTTTCAGCCACAGTGGAATCAAACCAGAAATTGATAACAGAAAGGAAAGAAAATCACCAAACATGTGGAAACTAAACCACATACTTTTAAATAATCCATGGGTCAAAGAGGAACTTTCAAGGTAAATAAGAAAATATACCGAATGGAATGAAAATAAAAATATAGCACATCAAAGCATGTGGGGAGTAGTTAAAACAGTGTTGAGAGGGAAATTTATAGTTCTACATGCCTGCTTTAGAAACGAAAAAAAATATCTAAGTAAGTATGAGAGAAATTTTTTAAAAATTCTTACATGTTAACTTAGATTCATTTATGCGTTCTTAAAATCCCACTGGTTACTAATTTATTTTACTACTACTACTGATTTACAAATTTATATGACTAAGAGACAAAAAAGGATATTGTTAATTGCCACAATAAATAACAAATAAAAAATATAGGAAAAATAGAAGAAACTTCAATTTTGCTACTAAATAGAATAAAGTTGCAACTGATACTAAATTGTTATTGTGGCTTTCCTTTGGTGTGTAAGCTACCATTTCCAAATTTCTATTAACTTTTTTCTTTCCTTTCTCTCTGTCTCTCTCTCTCTCTCTCTCTCTCTTTTTTTTTTTTTTTTGGCTTGTCTTTTTTGGTGTGTTGAAAATGTGTTTAGAGAAAAAAAATGGTAGAGTTCTGTGTGTGTTTGTATGTGTGTGTGTGATAGCCAAAATGGAAATCTGGCTTTTTATCCAAGTAAACTTAATATATTTAGTCTCCTATATTGCCTTTATAATTGGACTTTAAAAAACATAATTGGACTTATTTTTATCTCTGGTTTCATATGTTCTATTCATCATCCAATTATATCTGTGAAAATAAAAGACCTATTTTTATTACATCGATGTTTTAAAAAGTTTTCATTAAATCCAGTTGATTCTTTTTTAAAATAAACTCTATACCTAACATGAGGCTTGAACTCACGACCCCAAGATGAAGCACCAGAAGTTCTACCAACTGAACCAGCTAGGTGCCCCAGAAAAATGACATTTTAGATTTGTGCATTTTGCATACTTCACATTGGTGGTTATATATGGAATTAATTTATGATCAGAAAACCTGTTGATAAATACTAAGAATCTGAACAATGGACTGGTAGGTGAGTTACAGAGGGGAGATCAGGTTTGAGAAATGCATAGAGGAGAAATGTATAGAATTATAACAACTTGAATGTTAATTCAATTTGGTAAGTGGTAGACAAAAAAATCACTTCGGCAACTCTAGCTGGGAGAACTTACCAGAGGGCATCACTGTACAACATAAAAAAGTATGCAGTACATTTGCACCAAAAGTGCCATTGCTCTCCCAATAGGTCCTGCCCCTTAGGAGGGGCCCTCCCTCCGGGAGGCTTATACTTTCCACTCATTTGATGTCAGCTTTGTCCATGTGACTTGCTTAGACCAATGAGTTATGAGCAAAGGCGCTTCTAAGCAGAATCCAGCCTCCTCTGCAACCTTCTCTTTTTCCTTTGAACGTCCCAGGGAGGAGCTGTTCTCTCAGCCTAGACACCAGAATAAAAAGGCATGAAGCAGAGCCTCAGTCAATCACACAAAGACAGTGAGAAATAAACCTTTGCTTTCCTAAATCACTGTGATTTGGGGTCTTTTTTTTTTTTTTTTTTTGTGCTGTCCCATAACTTAATCTCAGCTGACTGATCTATGCAAATGAGTTTTCTTATTATCTGGTCTGAGCTCCTTATCTCTATCAGCTGTAAGTATTAACACCACTTTTGCACCTAGACTCAAGACTTGCATGAATGGTGTGATATATATTAAGTGAATAAGGGTTTAGAATATTTGAAATCGGGACTGCCTAGTAAATTCTCCCTCTATAGTCACTTTTTTTTTTTTAAGATTTTATTTATTTATTTATGAGACACACACAGAGAAAAGCAGAGACACAGGCAGAGAAAGAAGCAGGCTCCATGCAGGAAGCTGGATGTGGGACTCTATCTGGGGACTCCCGGATCATGCTCTGAACCAAAGGCAGACGCTCAACCACTGAGCCACCCAGGCGTCCCTATGGTCACTTTACTTAAAGAATGTGGATGCATGTGTAGGTGGGAAGAAAGAATTTATATAGATCTGAATACATTATATATATATATATATATATATATATATATATATAATGTTTATATTATTATATAAATTCATATTATATATTACATATCTATTTCGACTTGATATTATTTTTATAGCCACAGAAAACATTTTTATGTTAGACTCTACGAAGAATAGGAATAGTTGTGAAACTTAGAATAAGGATGATTTATGCCAATTTGTTAAAACAACTATTTTTAAACCACAATTATTTCCCCTAAGGATCCAAATGTCACTATTTCCCCCCAAAATAAAAACTCTTAGCCTTTTAGATTAGAGCCCATATTTCAAAATATAAATGGGAGTATTTGGAGAGAGATAAAAGAACAAAGAACCTTTGAAGACTGATTTAATCTTACTTGGGTCAGTTACTGTGGATGTTTGGGGATGTTAAAATTTCATCTATCAAAATAAAAATAAGCCAATGACAGTTATTGTTAAAGAATAATGTTTTGTAGAAGATATCAGCATTAGACTCCCTTTTGTCTTTGCTCCTTCCCTCCTTTTATAGGAATATGTATATTTTTAGTATCTAACACGTACCAGGCAGTGTGCTAGATGCTAGGGATTAATCAAAGAATAGGATAGAATCAGTCCCTTCCTAAAATGAATAACATGTTTTTACTTAAAAACTACCGCCTACTTAGGCAGCACACATTCCTGCCTTATCTTAACAAGTGACAGGATTTTCAGCAAACTTGCCATCTTCACCAACTGGAAAAAGCAAAGTCACCCTCAGGTGTAGCTGGTCTGTTGGAGGCACTGAAGAAACAGAAGGTCGTTTCTTCTTCCAATTTGTATCTTTCCATTGGCAAAAGGAGAGACCACCTGCAGAGTGATTCTAAGAAGCCAATGCCTGTGGCAGAGTTCTTCATTAAGATAAAATGGTGGAAAACCATCATTTGGTTAAAAGGCAAAGTGGTGGATTTGAGAAAACATGAGACTGGAGGAAAAACAGAGTGTGGGGCTCCTTCTGCAAGGCAGGTCACCTTGGGCAAATCATTTCTTCCATCCTAGTTCAAGTTCTTCATCTGCAAAATAGAGGCAGTGACATCAGCTTTATCTTTTCAGAGCATCCTTAGGAATAGCAAATAAACACAAGTAGTGGGGGCGCCTGGGTGGTTCAGTCCGTTGAGCTTCCGACTCTTGTTTTGGCTCAGGTCTTGATCTCAGGGTCATGAGACAGAGCCCCCCCCCCCCCCCCGTGGGCTCCCCTCTCAGTGGGGAGTCTGCCCCTAGGCCCACTGGTGTTTTTGCTCTCCCTCTCTCAAATAATCTTAAAAAACAAACAAATAAACCAAAACATAGGTAAGGAAGTGTGTCATTGCACATATATCTAGCTCTTTTGATTTTAAACTTTACTATTTCCTTTTTTTTCTCTCATGCAGTTTTTGTCAATGTAAGTAAGTAGCATAAATCCAGATTGGCTCCTCCCCGAACATCCAATTACAGTACTGCATTAGGTCAGGTATATACATAGATATTAAGTAGCCAATCACTAACGAATTAATGAATTTACTTATGTAGCCAATATTGATTTGCTATCTATTTATTATAAGACTTCACATCAGGTGCTCCAAGAGATACAAAAGTGAATGGCACTTTTTTTTTTTTAAGATTTTATTTATTTATTCAGGAGAGACACAGAGAGAGAGGGAGAGACACAGGCAGAGGGAGAACCAGGCTCCCCACAGGGAGCTCAATGTGGGGCTCGATCCTGGGTCTCCAGGATCACACCCTGGGCCAAAGGCAGGCACCAAACCGCTGAGCCACCCAGGGATCCCTGAATGGCACTTTTATATCACTTTTCATGCTCTGACACGAAAGAATCTCTAGTTTTAAGAATTTATCCCAAGGGGATAATTGTACATGATTGGATCTTGTATGAATTGTATAATACCATGTCTTATAATATTTTTTATAATAGATAACAGAGAATAAAATAAAGAAAACAATGAAGCAAGAGAGATCGATTAAATAAATTGTAAAGTATTGCCAGCGTAGAATAATAAGCAGTTATTTAAAAAGACTAACGTAGATCTCTTTATCAATCAAAAAGAAAAGGTACAAAGATAAATGTTCTTCTTGCATAACTTCTATACATCGATCCATAAGTCTATATGAAAAAATTGGCAACATTTCTGAGTTTGTAGTCTCTTTATGCCATCTATTGTGGTGTGATTCATTTACAACAAATAAGCATAATTTCTACAAAGACAGTAAAGATATTTTCAAAGAACTGAAAGAAAGTGAGTGGCAGAGGACTAGTCCTCAACACCTCACAACCAAAACTAGTCTAAACATACAACTAGATAGAGACTTAGTAAGGGATAAGTCTGATGGAAAGAATAGTGTGGAGTCTCCTAAGGGATAAGGAGAGATGAATAGGAATATCAAGCTAGGCAGAAACAGAAAAAGTATTTTAGGCAGAAAGGAGAAATAGAGTAAGTTACTGAGATGGAAACATGATCTAACTTGTTTACCGTGAGTACACTGGTGTTAAAAAACAAAAAAACAATAAGTAAATATAAAGATTTAATTTTTTTTTAGACACAGAGAGAGAGAGGCAGAGACACAGGCAGAGGTAGAAGCAGGCTCCCTGTGGGGAGCCTGAATGTGGGGCTCTATCCCAGGACCCCGGAATCACTACCTGAGCCAAAGGCAGTTGCTCAGCCACTGAGCCACCCAGGTGCCCCCAAGACCAAATGGTTCCATTAAGTGATTCATGAATCAGGGAGCAGCATCCATCTAGCAAGCAGAGGGGAGTTCAGAGGAGGTGTTCAAAAGGTTTTTATAGGAAAGAGGTTGGGGTGAGAAGTTATCAGAGAAAGAAAGGATTGTTCCAGGCATGGTCACATTCCCCTGGGGAGAAGGGCAGAGGATCTTATTAGGTAGTTTACCTCATTTTGGGGGGGGATAGAGAGGGACAATGTGATAGATTACCTCTTTGGTGCTGATCAGATAATTCCTGACTGACTCATGAAGATTTACATTTCTGGGGGAAGTCGAAATTGCAATTAGGTTGGGTATTAAGCCCAGGTTTGGTAACTTGGCTTAGGTGAAACCATTTTTTTTTTAATTTTTTTTTTTTAATTTTTATTTATTTATGATAGTCACAGAGAGAGAGAGAGGCAGAGACACAGGCAGAGGGAGAAGCAGGCTCCATGCAGGGAGCCCGACGTGGGACTCTATCCCAGGTCTCCAGGATCAGGCCCTGGGCTGAAGGTGGCACTAGATCACTGAGTCACCTGGGCTGCCCAGGTGACACCATTTTGACCTGCAGTTTTCTTTTTAACACTGTAAATGGAAAAGTTGGCTATCAAGTTGGAAAGTTTAAGGCCAGATCAGACTAAGAATTTGGACTTTTGCTGAGTTGACAATGAAAGTGGTGATATTTTAGGAGAATGATATATATACTCAGATTGCATGGTGGAAATTTTAGTCTTGCATGGATGGCAAGACTGGTACGGCTCTTGGCAGTACCACCCTTAGATCCAAGCATGAAAGGCCTTATTTCTGAGACAATTTCCAGGACTAGCAGAATCTTCTAACCTCAGTCTGAAGGGCAGGGGTCCAAAGAATAGTACAGTGGAGCCTGATGTCGGGAACTGTGGATGTACTTGGATGTGTAAGCTGAGATTCAATGCATATTCAAGATGCACTGTGACCAAAAAAAAAAAAAAGAAAAGAAAGAAAAAGAAAGAAAGAAAGAAAGAAAGAAAGAAAGAAAGAAAGAAAGAGCACTGTGACCAGCTAGACCCCAAGACCTGACATTTACTGCTCACCTGTTTGTACTCACGTTTGTCCCACATTTTTCCTTAAACTCTTCTTGCCAGCTTACCTCTTAACTCGGGCAAATGAAACCTGAAACCACCCCTCGGGTGATGGTGACTGTCCTGACAAGACCTCCAGCCCTTCTGAGCTATACCAGAGTAGGGCCTGTGCAGACAGACCATGGAGTGACATGTGGAATGACCCACCATTACCTTCACCTCATTATAATACTAAAATCTCCACCCAAGGAGAAGCCTCATTTACATAATACACAATGTATATGTAGGCATGTTTTCCGTTTTTTTTAAGATTTTATTTATTTATGCATGATAGACAGACAGAGAGAGAGAGAGGCAGAGGGAGAAGCAGGCTCCATGCCAGGAGCCCGATGCGGAACTCGATCCCGGGTCCCCAGGATCGCACCCTGGGCCAAAGGCAGGCACCAAACCGCTGAGCCACCCAGGGATCCCCCTAGGCATGTTTTCTTAAGGTGTATGTGCGACCCTATGCCTGCCTCTTCGTACAATGACAAGGCTTCCCTGTCTAAAAACTCATCCTATCCCTAAACAAAAGGAACTCACTCACCCTCTCTTGGGGAGGAATGCCTTTGGAAGCTCTTCTGTGATCTCCTTATTTGCTGCAAATAAAAGTGTTCGCACAACAGTCACCCTGGTGCAATTTCTGACTCACCAAAGAATGAACTCACGAACTCCTGTTGGTCCGGTTACCCATCACATTATAGGATGAAGCTGGAAGCGGGAAAGAAAGAAGTCAGTTCGATTGATAAATATTAGGCATTTAGATATACTTAGTACTCTTGGGCTGAGTCCTGCAAATGCTAGTGGCAAGACTGTAGAATAGCCCATAGGAGATAATCAATACACTTTTGGAGAACGGATGCTTGGCAACAATGAACACAGTAACTCAAGCTGAGGAGTGATGACAGAGAGTAGATCAAATTGGCCAGAATTTCCAAAAGATAAACTCTCCTGCGATACTTCCAATTCACTATAGTTAGTTACACATCATAAATTTCGCTATTTGGAAGACGGTTGGGAGGCGATGTTTGAGTTATTATATTTAGAAATATTTTTAAAATTTTATTTAGAAATTTAAATTTAATAAAGATGCAAGAAAATAGCAAATGTATCCCTTTTCTTTGCTCTAAAAGCAGAAGCGTAAATATTTATCTCAGTTAACCATTTATTTGTGGACACTCCCACCAAAGAAACTTGCCAGGAGCCCAGGCATAAAAATCCTTGATTCAATTAGGCCTGAATCACTGACTCATTGTGTGTGACCTGGGGCAAGTCACTTGACCTCTCAGCACCACAGAGCATTCAGCTGGAAACATAGGTGTAAAGCAAGGGTGTGCTGAAAAACAGATGCCCCATCTAAACTGGCTTCCTTCGGTAAATATATCATGGAAGAAAAAGAACATTCAATTCTTTCAAATAAATATTTTAAATTTGGCTTTTAATTCTCAAACATGGGCTTCTTATAATATGGGTGGATTTGGTGAATACTTACATAGCAAATTCTTTATGAACTGCATACTTCCTGCTGGTATTCAGTACCTTAAAAGGATTTTCTTGGAATTTTTTTTTTTTAAGATTTTATTTACTTATTCATGAGAGACACACACAGAGAGGCAGAGACACAGGCAGAGGGAGAATGCGGGACTTGACCCCAGGACCCCGGGGTCATGACCTGAGCCCAAGGCAGATGCTCAACCACAGAGCCAGCCAGGTGTCCCTTTTTCAGGAATTTAAAACCAAATCTGCATCTTTTAAAATCTTCAAGATTTGACCAGTTTTTAAATGTTTTGAATTCCGAGCAAATAGGGTGTCTGGGTGGCTCAGTCGGTTAAGCATCTGCCCTTGGCTCAGGTCATGATTCCAGGGCCTTTGTTTGGACTGAGTCCCCACTGGGCTCCCTGCTCAGCGGGGCGCCTGCTTTTCCCTCTGCCCCTCGCCCTGCTTGTGTGCATGCTCTCTCTCTCTCAAATAAGTAAATAAAATCTTTTTAAAAAAAGTGAATTCTGAGCAAATCCAGGAATATACAGAAGCAGGAAGCATAACAACGAGGGAATAAGTTCTTGGGTGCTGCTTTTTCAACCTAACAGTGTTTTCAGTAACAACAGTAATTATAATTAAAATTGCTTGCTCACTTCTCAGAGTTTAAGATGGATAATTTTATTTACTTTCCCCATGAACTTCTAAGGTCCACTTTTACTACAATGCCTGTTTTACATAGAGAGAAACTGAGGCATAGAGAGATTAAGCAATTTGCCCAGACTATACAGTTTTTCCCCAAACAGGTAGGGTGAGTTTAGAGCTCTCACTTTTCTACTTGATATCGCCTCACTTCTGGTAGAAATCACTGGATTCAGATGCAAGCAGATACCGTATTGACTGTATAAACCTCATCAATACAAAGATGCTGTCATTATAAAGTGAAATTCGTTCAATTCACAATTCAGTTGTATTCTGCAAAAGAGGCATTTTTATTTTTTTGTTATCCAAGTAGAGTTAGGGACAAAAATCGAATCTTAAAGAGCAATGTGTAAAAAGCCCAGGAAATGATCTCTTCATCTACAACATCCCGAAAGCAGAAGTTGCCAAGCATCAGAGGGCATAACAATAACCTGGGCAATTTTTCAAAATAGGCATGTTCCCAGGACTTGCAGCTATAGATTCTGATGAAGTAGGTCTGGAGTCTGGGCAGAGAATCTGTGTTTTTAAAAGCAGCTTGGTAACTGCAGTGGAGGCCACCCTCAGTCCACGCTTTCAGAGGGTTTTAAAATTTCTTTTCACCCCAGACTCTGGGAGACACTGGGCTTTTCAAAACAAACAATAAGGCTACTTCCCAAATTGCTTAATTAGAAGCTTGACAAATTCGGTGCGAACAAACACCAGGTGCTATTTGCAAGAGGTGAGTCAGGACCCAAATCAAAATGTGTCCTGGTTCTTGGCTTTGGCATAATACGTAGATGGAACCATGGCCTACTAAGTTCTCAAAGCCACAGAGATCTGGGTTGCCCTCTGAAACTGTAAAATACTAGAAAAATATTGCTATGGGGAAGAATATTTGCATAATTCAGAAAAATGTAGTTCTTTCGAATAGCTTCACAGTTACTTGGTTTTACTCCCAAATTATCCTGATATCTATGGTAGGCAGGAAGTGACTAATGCAATGCATGGAGTCACACCTCTTAAGGTATTTTTAGGATGATAGCGGCAGTACCAGCCCTCAGGTGCCATTGGAATGGTAATTCGGTTAATTGGGTCTTGGAGCTAACACCTCTTTTGGATAAAGGTAGGAAGTCTCACTTTACTGAATGGGTTCAGGGTTTTTCCTCCCAAAGATTTCAGCCACCTGTATTTGAAGGCAGGCTTTTTTATCCTGAAAGTTTGGAATCATTTCGGATGCTGTTGTTTTCTTAAAAATCCAAGATCGGGTCTCAATGCCTGAGGAAGGCTAGATGTAATGGATTCTTGAAATATTTTGTATTTCTAGGTTTCTGTTCCCTTTGAATAGCTTTCTCCTAAATGCCTAAAGTTCCTTTAATCTGAGATTTCCTTTCCCCCCAAATTTATGATTTCAAAAGAAAATTAGTGTGAATCAATTGAGAAAATAAAAGGCTCATTCCGTTTTTTCCCCCTTTTGTTTTCTTTTTCAACCTTTAACTATATGGTGTGGTTTACAATGAAGTAGGAAGTTGTAGTATTTCCAAAGACTGAATAATACTTCTTTGGGACAAGGAGAGTTTTCGTTCCTCCATGAATAGGTTTTGGGGAAAGCTCTCTGTGAACCCTCTGAAATTGTATGAAAACTTTTGAATGAATATTCACTATTCTGGGACCAGAATCACTTTTTTTAAAATTACACACAAAAAGGTCCCTCTACCTAGAAACTTTAACAACTAGTCAGAAATAAATTAGTTTATAATAAACAGGAATAAGGAATAAGAACTAAATTAGCTTCTAGAAATTGAGCTATCCTTTTAAAGATTTTAAAAAGCTGGAAAGTTCATTGTTCTTTTTAGGAGTTGAAATTTCCAAGGCAGATTATTTAAATAATGTGACTACTTACTCTAATTCCACAATTAAGACTATTAGCATCTGCTTGTGGACAAAGACATTATAACATCTTCCGCTTAGACATTATGATTAAGACTATTAAAATATCAAAGGACAATTAGACTATAGGCTTCCCTTTGAGTAGCACTTTCTGCTTTTATTGATTTGTCATGTAAATTGTAAGCCCTTGTTGACAGAAATTATTGGCATTTAAATCAAGTAGGATAAATAGTCCTTTTCTGTAATCTTTGTCAGAAAAATGCAAGTGATAAATGTGTCCTTTAAACTATGTAAAAGAATTTGTTCCCCTTCCAAGCTGAAATACATAGGAGTCTGGAGGTAATTTTTAAAAAGTAAATAGTCCAACAATATGAAAGTAAAGCTTCTGCTTATTCAGTGATTTAAGGTAAAGTTCCAAAACACAAGGCTTTTTTTCTTTTTAATTAAAAAATATTATATATATAAATTTTATATAGTAAATATATTAAGTAAACTCTACACCCAATGTGGGGCTGGAAGTCATGACCCTGAGATCAAGAGTCGCAAGCTCTCCTGACTAAGCCAGTCAGGCAACCCTCTATTTTTTTTTTTTTTTATAAATCATCCAGATGGTTGTATTTGGAGATTTTATTGTCAATCAAATTACAATCATTAATCTCAGGTCCTTTTGAGCATCAACCTTTCAAAGTGTAGACTAAGTCATATAATACTTTTTAAAAAGATTTTATTTATTTATTTATGAGAGACACACAGAGAGAGGCTGAGACAGAGGCGGAGGGAGAAGAAGACTCCCTGTGGGGAGCCCAACATGAAACTCGATCCCAGGATCCCGGGATCACACCCTGAGCTGAAGGCAGATGCTCAACCAGTGAGCTACCCAGGCATCCCAGTCGTATAATATTTTAAATCTAGTTTCCTCACCCGTGGAAAGAAGTGTTAGAAGACAATTATAAATAATGCTTGATGAGAAAGATTTTTCTTCTTTTTTTCTCATATGAGTAATCCTTAAAGCATACTTTTAATAATATTCAGTATCTAATTTGAAATCAACAATTGGTAATTTACTACTCTGATATGGTGAGATGTTCAAAAACTATAATTATAATAAGAAATAAAGTATCCTCTTCTACCTATATCAATGAATCAATAAGCATTTTGATCTCTTCCAGTGTGTTCATTTTAATTCCTTGGGTGACATATGCTTCCATATATCCCTCTATCTACATCTTCAAATTTAGCCATAAACACAGTTAGCCATACCCTCTTCAAAATTTGGTCTGAATTAATACTAGAGCTTCAAGAGGCTAGCCTTGGAATTAACACTAGAAGTAAGAAGTCTGACTTCTATGTGATACTGGAAACCCCTTCCTATCATTTAAACTGGGATCTAGAAAACTAAATTTCAGGTCAATCTCTTTCCATCTTTCCGCAACTCAGACTCACAAAGTTTTATCTCTTGTAAAGTTGAAAAATGTTGGGTTTTAATTCCCACTGGAGTACAGTCTTAGGGTTTAGAGAATGTTACATCTCACATGTATATGGAATAATGAAATATATCGACATTTGGAAAATCTACACAATTCAGTGAAAAGGTACCTTCCAAAGGGTATAAATTCATGAATGGTTGTAAAAGATGAATTTAAAGTGTAAGATAAACCAAGAGATTTTAATGTAGCAGAGTACACAAAGTTCATTTCTGTTGTTTTAGATAGAACATTGCAATCTGCCTTTATAAAATTACTGTTTGTTGAGGCGCCTGGCTGGTTCAGTCCACAGGGCATGAGCATGGGGCTCTTGATCTCAGAAACATGAGTTCGAGGCCCACGTTGAGGGTAGGACTTACTTAAAAAAAAAAACAAAAAAACACTATTTGTCACGTTTTGACATAGTACCAAAGACTATGTAAAAAGACTACTAAGATACTTCTCCATTTTCCAATTACAAATCTGTTTGAAGCCAGATTTTTTTGTATACTTCAGTCAAAACAATTGGATGATAAAGCAAATGTGAGAATCCAGCTGTCTTCTATTAGGCCAGCTAGTAGAGATTTGTAAAAATGGAAAACAATGTTACATTTCACCCGAGTTTTATTAAGTTGACAGGCCATTGTGTTTATTATTGTTTTCAATGAACTAATCAATATTTTAAAACTTTTCAGTCATCTTTTATTTCTAATGTGGTAAGTATAGATAGATATAACCTGTGTAAACAAAGTTCTGTGATGTCCTCAATAATTTTTAAGAGTGTATCAAGGCCCTTGACACCAACAAGTTTGAGAACCACTTACACATAGAATTGTGAAGGTATTAAATACATTTTCTGCAAACTGCCTCTCAAACATAGGAGCACTTCTTTTGTGATGGGGGTGGGGTAGGATTGGCAACAATTTACTGCTAAGTCGCATTAACTCAAGTAAAAGCCCCTATTTCCAAAGTTCTTTGCCACATTGTCTTGTATGGTTGAAAACATCAGATAAGGTATGAGCTAGGATGTCAAAACCTGAAACATCTGTCATCTTCTGATCCAAGCAGCTCATGTTTAAAATAGAAATTAAAATTTAAATTATCAAGTGTTATTCAATTTGTTGATGTTATAGCTTGTTTGTGAAACTGGTTCTCAAATCCTTGTGAATCAGTACCGGATGGCTGGTGGCCGAAATTCAGGCCTAGGGCTCAGAGAGGAAATTTGGTTAAATGTGAAGTTTTGGGTGTATCCATGGGCACAGAGAATAATTCAGTCCATGAGAGTCAGTGAGCAGACATCAGAAAGCTGGAAGTAGGTCAAATAAATGAACAGAGGATAAAACCTCAGTTAATGCTTATCAAGAATAACATAAAAAATAGGGGCACCTGAGTGGCTCAGTTGGTGAACTGGCTGTCTTTGGCTCAGGTCATGATCTCTAGGTCCGGATGGAGCCCCACTTTGGGCTCCCTGCTCAGCGGAGTCAGTCTTCTCCTTTTCCCTCTGCCTCTCCCCTGTATGCTCTCTCTGTTTCTCAAATGAGTAAACCAAAAAATCTTAAAAAAAAAAAAAAAAAGAATAGAAAGTCAGGAGAAGGGTATGGATACTTTTTGAATGCCCAGGATGGTTATAATGGAAACCACTGGGTTACATGAAGAACCATTGGCTTACATTACCTAGGAGTAGACTTTAGGCCTATACTAAGCTCTTAACATAATTTAACAAACTATATCATCGTAACAACTGTGTAAGGCAGGTATTTTCTTCATTTATCAACTAGGAAATAAAGGTCTAGTGAGGTGAATATGCTTCCAGTGAGGTGAATACAGATTCCACGGCACACAATGCCACATCAAAGATTGGGTTTGAATTTCAGGTCTCTCTTATCCGGGATCATCTCTAAGAAAATCTGATGTATATAATAGTCTGCTCTCAAGAACTTTCATGTCTAACTTTAAATTGTACTAGTCTCTTCCCTATTCCCTTGAGGTAGGGGGAACTGATAGAAATGGATGGATGTGCAATGAGCTTTTATATTCATTCATAGTTAGGCAACATTTTACTTTTTCTTAATGGGCCATGAATTTATAAGTACAAGAGGACAAACAACAAATGTGTTTTTGTTTAATAAAGAAACCCAGCTTTACTAAATGTTCTCATTGCTGGAACTATCAGCACAGGGACAGCTAAATGCTACTAATCAAGAATCTGCAGTCCTGCATTACATGTAATATTCCCTGAAATTTAGAGCTAAGGTTAAATGTTCCCGTGGGGTCCCACAGCTAGACACTTGATACCTACAATTTTCACCCTACCCCTAAATAAGCTTAATCCATATTATATGCAAGAGTACATAAGTTAGATGACATATTTTAAGTTACAAGTTAGCATTTAAAAACTACCATATATAAAATAATAAATAAATAAATAAATAAATAAATAAATAAATAAATAAATAAATAAATAAATAAAACTACCATACAACTAAAATTCAAGAAACAGGAGTCTAAATGGGATGAAACTGTGCTCTGAAATCTAAGCCAGTTCCTCAGTAGTTGAATCACCTAAGGCAGTGTTCAAACAAAGGCTGAAGCCTTGAAGGTTTGTAGGGGAAAATTAGTAAGTGGGTTTCCCCAGAGCAGTGTGAAGTCATCAGACCTGGGTAATGCTTCCCAGAGGTGTAACCGCGGCGGGGGTGTGTGTGGGGGGGGTGTCGGGGGGTGGGGGGGGCAGGTGGCGGAAATGCGTGGTACTTGGCAGGTCGGCCCCTGGGGACTGGGCTGGCTGACTACCTGGTATCGCAATAAAATTCTTGACATCTAAGCACATCCCCTAACACCACACCCTGCGTGACTTGTTGAAAAGCATCGTTTCTAGTTTACTCGACTTTTCTCTTTCGCCTTGTTCGTTTTTGTCCAAAATGCGTGATAAGCGGCAAGAACCCACTTTGCAAGGCCTAGCCGAGACCCAAAGAAGATACCTTGAAATACCAGGGATGCCTTGCAAGGGCAGGGAATAAAGACATCTCTTTTTACCCTATAATAATGATAGCGGAACCGTCGAGGGCCAGATTAGTGAAATTTGTAAACTCCCTCTCATTTTTTCCTAAACAGTGCCACCTACCGTCCGTTTTAAGTTATCAGGCCCAAAGAGAAATCGAGGGCGAAAAGGGTGACCGGCCCAAGGAACTCTTCCCAGCTTTAGGGCATTGGAAAAAAAAAGGATGGAGAAAAGAGCGTCTCAAAGCAAAAGTAAGCATTTTGACTGGTTAGCTTCTCACAAGGCTCGCAAGAAGCAAAAAGCCAGTTAAGTCATTCTCTTGGAAATGGCTTTTTCTAACCGCGCTACCTTCGAGGTCTCCAGGGCACGATTTTTATTTTACGTTTCATTTATAACGCGTGCTGCTTGCGTTATTTTTACGTTAGGGGGTCAAGTTATGGGAAAAAGTGTAACTGCTTCGTTTTTTTTTCCCCGCTCCCCCCCACCCATGGGAATGTCTGTGTAAGAGGGGCTGTGACACAGGACATCCCAGAAACTTCCGAGCTCCTGCGAAGAAAGGGTTAACAATTGGGAGACCTGTAGCCGATCTTATTTAGAGTCGCAGCCGGCTCTCGAGGTTCCAGGTGCACACACACACACACACACACACACACCCTCCCCAGCAATCTCCCCCCCCCCCCCCCGGGGCTGCTACTTAGCCTAAGGGCACCACTTGGCCTGAAAGCAAATTAGCTAAAAGGTGCGGGGACTTTTTCCGCGAAGAGGGAATCCTCGCAGCTCAGCCCGGAGCTCAGGGATGTCTGCAGAGCGCGGCCTCCCCGCTCCACCGCTGGAGGCAAGGAGGGAATCAGGTGGTGGCCAGCATCCGCGCACGGCCTTTCTCTGCACACGTTAGCAATCAAGTTAATTGAATTCATTGGAGTTTAGAACCGGCCTCTAGCTCAGAGACGGCTTTGAATGGCCAATTTCTCTTTCTTCCTCTCCCCCACCCCGCCTCCCGCCCGCCCGCCCGCCCGCGCGCGCTCCCAGTTCCCTCCCCCTGCGGGTTCCCCAGTCCGCACCTCCCTCCTCCGCTCCCCCCACCCCCCACCCCCTCCTCCGCCCTATTAAAACACCCACCAGCTAGCTTGTTAAGACCCCCTTAACTTGGAGGAGGCAGAAAGCAACAACAGCGAGGAGGGAGAAGTCAAGACGTCTGGAAAGAATTACCCACCCAGTCCTGGCTTCCCGCAGCCCATTGAACCAGGGACTTGAACCAGCCCCAGCCAAAGACTTTCTCCTAATTCTGCGCTTCCCGGGTTCTGCTGAGTCTTCACCGGGCTTTTCTTGATACGAAAAAGAAAAGAGACTTTCCGATATCAGGGGAGGGGGAAACTGGAGCGAGAAAAAAAAATATATATATATATATATACATATAAAATAATAAATAAAATAAAAATAAAGTTAATTTATTTTTAAAGCACAGATTTTTCTTTTAAGAATTAGACTGAAGTGCGACGGAGACCTTAACAAGAATAGTAGTGGAATTTCCTTCTGAAGTGGGGGAGAACCAAACGTTGAAGACAACCCCCATCCTTTTTAAATGTTGTTTTTAAATTTTTTATTTTTTTTGGCCGGTCGTCTCAAATTCATCTGATCTCTTATTACCTCAATTTTGGAAACTGCCCGCCACCGACCCTCCGGGACCACACAGACAGGCTGAGGACAACTTTATGACCAAGAGCTGAACAAGGTATGTTACACTGGCGCGAGACGGTGAACCAGGAGGGCCCCCCGAATAGGCCAGGGAGAGGGAAGAAATTATCCACATCAGCGTTAAAAAAAAAAAAAAAAACTGTAAAAGCTGGGTTTTTCGACAGAAAAGTTTGAGGTCTGCCAATTGCCCAACAGCCCGAAAGTCCGGGGATATTTCAGATCACTGTCAGGCTTGGCGATGCATCCCTGTCTTTTCCCATCCCTGCGGCGCTCGCCAGCAATCCGCTGCCTTTCTGGGCACACAGGTAGCCTCTCCGCCTGGGAAAGCCTGCACGTCCCGGGATGTAGTTTTCCACTCCTCGTCTTCCGGAGCCGCAGAGGGGCTCCCAAGTTAGGAAACAAGGATTTCCACTGTGCAGGAACAACGCCTTCCGCGCAGCGGCTCCCCCCTTGCCCCTTCCTTCCCATCCCTTCCCACCCCCCTCTCCCGCCCCCCCCCACTTTGCGCGGGGAGGACAAACCTGGAACAGCCCGGCGCCTTTTACTTCCAAGGGGGGAAACCCGCTGCTTACTTGGAATGCAAAGGGTTAACGCGGCCCGGGCTCCCCGCTGCCGAGAGCCGGGACCCCCGGGAAGGAGGGTCCTTCGCCACCTCCTCGCAGCTACCGGCCTCGCTCGGCCACTCCCACTTCCCCGGGCTTCCCGTCCTTTGCACTCTCCGGACCCCCAGAAAGCGTCAGGCTGGGTCCGCGCGGGCTCAGCCGGGCTCCGGAAGCCGTGCTCGGGCGGGGGGTCCCGGGGTCCCGGGGGCAGGGCGTGCGTGGGGAGCGCGCGCTGCAGCGTGGGCGGCGGCACGGTCCCGGGAGCCGGCTCCGACGTGGCACCGAGCACGCTGGCGCTTCTCCCCGCGGGGGCGGCGCGGGGCCCGGCGGGCGGGCGGGGGGCTCGGGGTGCAGCCGCGGCGCCCGGCCCGGAGCTGGAGCAGGGGCGCGGCGGGAGGCGAGCCAGAGGCTGGGTCGGGATGGGGACCGTCTACACCTCGGGCGGAGCGCGTCAGGCCGCTGGGCGGGAGCGAGGGCTCGGATCCCGGTCCCCGGGAAGGGGGGCGCGGGGGGTGAAAGGAGGGTCTGTGCGGGCGCGGCGGCACGGCGGCTGGAGAGCCTCCCCCCCGCCCCCCGGCCGGGGACACTCCGCCGACGGGCAGCGGCGCTGAGAAAGGAGGATTCAGGCTGGAAAGCGGGGCAGGGAGCGAGAGGCGGAGCTGGGGAGGGCTCCCGAGCCCCGGGTCCTATTACAGCCGCTTGGGTGCCAGCGCCTCGCCCTCCGGCCCTCAAACGCCCGCGCGGAGGAGGGGACCCCGCGCCCCGCGCGCCTCCGGGGAGCGAGCCGCGGCCGCCGTGCCCCTGGGGTGCGCATCGGAGCCCGCGCCCCTCCCTGCCCACGTCCCCGGCCTGGGGACCACCGCCGCCGGGCGTCTCCCGAGCGGCAGCCCAGCAACGCCGCGCTCCAACCCACGTGGCTGGCCAGGGATTGCCTTTGACGTCACGCCCTGGGGGAGGTGTGACGCAATAGGTCGGGGAGCCCTGATTGGCCCCGAAGGGCTTCCCCGAGCTGGCGGCCTGAGTATATATAGACTCTCAGCTCGGGGTTAGGAGTAAAGCGAAGGGTGTTGGTAGCTGGGCTTCGCGGAGGAGGCGAGGGGTCTTGGGGGGGGGGGGGAGTTCTCTGCCCATTGTGGATGTCAAGCTGTTGTTCTCCCCCAGGCAGATTTCTTCTTTGCAGTGAAGGAGGAGGACAATGTACCTTTGGAAGCGTTAAACAGGATTACGTTTTTTTAATTTTTTTTTTAGAAAGGCAATTTAAACTTTTTATTTATATATTTTTTCAATTTAAACTTTTTAAAAGGTCAACACGTATTCAAACACATTCAGTGGGGAAAGGTTTAAGATTGAAATGTGTATTTATGTAGATGTGGCTAGGGACAGATATTTATGCCCGTCAGATTGTAGATAGGGTTTTAAATTTTACAAAACAGGACTGAGGGAATACTTAAAATCTAACCATTTTCTTTTCAATCCAATGTGTGCAGATTGATTCATTCATTATATTTTGGCTGCGCTTTTCTAGATGCTAAATAAGGTTACTAAAGTACTGAGGTACTGCATTTTTTATCCTTCCTTTTTATTTTTATCATTTATTGACTGATTGATACTACATTTTTAGTACTCATCGTATTCATTGCAGATCTTTTCACTACTTGGCTATTTTCGATTTTCCATAAAAGGTTAACTCTTTAAAGTGCCTATTTTAGTATTTATGTCGTGTGAGTTTTTAGTTTTGGGACAAGTATTCAGAATTCTAGGTCAACATTTCTCAATGACAGCACTGGAATTAGAATATGAACCCTTCTATTCACTTTTTGTTACGTATTTCCTGAATTGGAGGAATAGCAAAATGTCTTGTAGATTTATTGACAAACATATTACCTGAGTTGCTTGTATTGTACATGAAACTACATTTTTTTTTTTAAGATTTTATTCATTCATTCATGAGAGACACACAGAGAGAAGCAGAGACACAGGCAGAGGGAGAAGCAGGCTCCACGCAGGGAGCCTGACGTGGGACTCGATCCCGGGACTCCAGGATCACTCCCAAGGCCGAAGGCAGGCGCGGAACTGCTGAGCCACCCAGGTGTACCTAAATCCTTACTTTACCAGAGGAAGTTATGCAGCTTCCAAAAATTAAGGTCTTAAATCCGACAATTAGCAGCAGATTTGAATGTCACTCTCCACAAAGCAAAGATGTAGTAGCTGCCTTACTGGAACACAGGGATAGAGCAACAAATGAGTAAGAAACTCAACAGTAAGTAGTCAGATTGAAACTAATTGTTTCTGTTAGGTTTATAGAATAGCCTCATAATTTTGAATCTCGTAAACACTTTTTTTTTAAGATTTATTTATTTATTTATGATAGACATAGAGAGAAAGAGGCAGAGACACAGGAGGAGGGAGAAGCAGGCTCCATGCAGGGAGCCCAATGTGGGACTTGATCCCGGGACTCCAGGATCCTGCCCTGGGCCAAAGGCAGGCGCCAAACCGCTGAGGCACCCAGGGATCCCCCTCATAACCACTTTTTTATACATGGTTTCTGGACCAGTTGTCTTTTAAAACAAAAATTTTTAAATATTTTATTTATTTGAGAGAGAGAGAGAGAGAGAGAGCACGAGCTGGGGTGGGGGAGGGGTAGAGGGAAAAGCAGACCTCCCATCACCGAGCAGGGAGCCCCACACAGGGCTCCATCCTAGGCCCCTAAGATCATGACCTGAGCTGAATGCAGATGCTTGACCAACTGAGCCACCCAGGTGCCCCTAAATTTTTTTTTCTTGAAATTTTAAAGCACAGACTGTTCACGTATTCATTTAGTGTCCCTTATTGGAACTGTGGGGAAAACCTTTATGGGTAAGGTGTGGGTCCTCTTGGGCAAAGTTATATTACAGTGTTACATTTCTTTAATTGAACTATAGTTTACACACAATGTTATGTTAATTCTAGGTATACAACATAGTGATTCAACAAGTTGGAACTTCATGCTGTACTCACCACCAGTGTAGCTACCCACCTCTCCTCATCATACAGCATTGCAATACCATTGACTGTATTCCCTATTCTGTACCTTTTACCCCACACCTTATTTACCTAGTTACATTTTTTTCTTCTTTTTTTTACATTTTTTTTCAATTTAAGAACAAGTATTACATTATTAGCTTCCTGACTTTTATATAATGTGGGAGTGATGAATTAATGTAATTAGAGAAGAGAGCATAAACTCCATTGTCCCTTTCTGGGTTCCAGTTTCTTTCTTTTTTTCTTTTTTCTTTTTTTTAAGATTTATTTATTTATTCATGAGAGATGCAGAGAGGCAGAGACACTGGCAGAGGGAGAAGCAGGCTCCATGCAAAGAGCCCCATGTGGGACTTGATCCCACGATGCCAGGATCACTCCCTGAGACAAAGGCAGATGCTCAACCACTGAGCCACCCAGGCGTCCCTGTTTTTTTTTTTTTTTAATTCAAATTCACCCAGGTTGTGCCCCACTAAGAGGCTGCAAGGCCCAACCCAGTGGCAGCTAATGTGACAGCTGAATGGGGTAAGATAGCTCCCTGTAGAAAAATCATTTCCACTCCAACTTGGTTTTAATCCTTTCCCCTCTAGTGGCAATCTGCATGGAATAAATGTCACCCCACTGAATATACCTTAAATTATTCAAGTATATTTTGAATGTCATCAATGTATACAAATGTATACAGATGTGTACATGTACAGTGTGATACTATATAGTGTATCCACTATACATCTATATATACTACATATATACTATATATATATATATACATACATATATATACATGTCCTTGTCCACAGTCTATCTTTCCAAGTTATGCCCCCCTGGGGGGGGGTTGGAAAGATGGGGGCAGGGCTTGAACTCAAGACCCTGAGATCAAGAATGGCGTGATCTACGGACTGAGCCAGCCAGGTACCCCTCATAACCTATGAAAATGTTGTTGATATTAGAGTCAAAATAAATATAATGAAGTTACACTCTTAAATATATTTTTTAAGATTTTATTTATTTGAGAGAGAGCAAGTAGGAGCAGGAGCAGCGTGGGGGTGGGGGCAGGGGGAGAGAAAGAAGCAGGATCCCCACCAAGCCGGGAACCAGATGTACGCTTAACTAACTGAGCCACCCAGGCGCCCCTCTTAATTTTTCTTCTGACTTTAATAAAATAGTTCCAAAAGAATGTCTCTTAAATTCATTATTTTTACTGCAAATTTTTAAAAAATAAGATGCAGTTCACATTTTAATGAAATTTGTCATACAAAAAAATATACTTGAAGAAGTCTTTATAAATAACCATAGTGTAGGGCAAAATATAATAGGGTCCATAAAAAAGTAAAATAGCTACTGTTTATCACATGTCTAATATGTATCAGGCACTGAGATAGTTAATATACATTATATCTAATTCCAACCCTCTATA